GCTCTTTCCAGACATTGGCTATTGTTGATAGCACTGCTTTAAACCTTTAAGGGGTACATGTGCCCCTTTGAAACTGCATACCTATATCCTTTGGATAAATACCTAGTAGTACCATTGCTGGGTCATAGGGTAGTTCTATTTTTAATTTTTTTGAGGAACCTCCATACTGTTTTTCAGAGTGGCTGCACCAGTTTGCATTCCCAGCAGCAGTGCAAAAGGGTTCTTCTTTCTCCACATCCTCGCCAACATCTGTCATTGCTTGAGTTGTTAATTTCAGCCAAGAAATCGTAATTTTTTAAATCAAGGTGAAATTCACATAACATAATATTGGCTATTTTTAAGTTAACAATGTAGAGGCATTTAGTACATTGGGGTTTGAGCCCCACATTGGCTCTGTGCTGACAGCTTGGACCCTAGAGCTTGCTTTGGATTCTGTGTCTCCCTCTCTCTCCAGCCCTCGCCCACACTGTCTCTCTCTCTCTCAAAAATAAATATACATTAAAAAAATTTTTTTTGGAGGGCGCCTGGGTGGCTTAGTTGGTTAAACCTCTGACTTCGGCTCAAGTCAGGATCTCAAGGTTTGTGAGTTGGAGCCCCGCATCGGGCTCTGTGCTGACAGCTCAGAGCCTGGAGCCTGCCTCAGATTCTGTGTCTCCCTCTCTCTCTGCCCATCCCCCGTTCACCCTCTGTCTCTCTCTCTCTCAAAAATAAATAAAAATTGAAAAAATTGAAAAAAAATCTTTTTAATTTCATTGAAAAAAACAAATTTAGGTATAAGCGTAACTAACGATGCAACATTCTGTTCTATCTTCAGTTTCCTGGCCTTGCCTCTACGGTCAAAATTCCTTTTTATTTCTCTTCTAGCTTCTTCTTTCTTGGGCTTACAATCACTCTCTAGTGAATGAGTGCAATGCACTTGCTCCAGTATGCTGAAACATTTCTAGATAATCCTAATTATCATAAAAGTGGAAACCAAGTTTCCTTTCAGATTTCTATTTTGGCCCCCTCCTTCCTTTCTCTTCCTATAGATCTATTCTATTTCTCCCCTCTCTGTCCCACTGTTCTGTGGGCACCAAAGGTAGAAAGGAAAGGAGCCCATTTATCTTTGCTACTGCATTCACATAACAAACTTTTGTCTTACTCTCTTGTTACACTAAAAATACAGAAAAATGAGGACTTCAATAGTGTGATAATCCACATGTTTCTAAACCCACATGTTTCTATAGCCCTTTTTCTTTTCAAATGGGCCCTGTAACTCCATAGAAGAGTCATGTCAAAAAACGTTTGCCACCAACACTCAAGAAAAAAAACCCTTTGGCTGAATTGAGTAGCCAATTCCTTCAGGTGCAAAATCAGGCCAAAAATACAACAGCCATTGATGCTTTGTGACTGCAGAAGTGACCAGAAAAGAAGGCATTGACTTGGTGATTCGTTTTCTCCTCTTTCTCTGAAGATCTAGAAAAAGTATTTTGGTGGAAGAGTAATTTCAAAACTCAGTAAACCTGGAAACAAAGGAGTTTAATTACTTATTCATGTGGAGAGAAGCCAGACAGGAGAGACCAAAGAAGTAGACACTAAACAGAAGTCTCTGAGTCATTTGTTAATACTTAAATCTGAAAACCATGACTCTGATTATAACATGTTAAAAAGCCCACATTAGGACAAGGCAATCACATGAGACTTCTCTCTCTCTGAACTGATTCCTTTATCTTTAGTTTATTCTTGCCTTTCTGCTCTGCCAAATATCAAAGCCTTTGTTTCAACAAGTCTCATAATCTTTGAGAAGTACTTCCCATGACTGCTCTCATCACAAACTCTTCTTCATAAAAAGAATTTTTGTTAAGTCACCTGTTGTATAACTGTGATAAACAGAATAATGGCCCCCAAATATGTCTACATCCTAATCCCTGGAATTTGTGAATACATTATATGGCAAGGGGGAATGAAGATTGAAGATGGAATTAAAGTTGCTAATCAACTGATTTTAAGACAAGGCAAGTAACCTGGATTATCCAGGTGAGTTCAATGTAATCATAAGTTCCCTTCTAAGAGAAGAAGGAAGGAGAATCAGTGTCAGAATGATTCCATGTGAGAAAGACTGGCTGCTGCTGGCTGTAAAGATGGAAGAGAGTTGTGAACCAGGATAAAAGGGTGGCCTCTTGAAACCGGAAAAGGTGAGAAAACAGAATCTTCACTAGAGTTTCCCTGCTGACACTTTTATTTTTTATTTTTATTTTTTTTAAATTTTTTTTAATGTTTTTTTTTTTATTTATTTCTAGGAGAGAGAGAGAGAGAGAGAGACAGCGTGAGCAGGGGAGGGTCAGAGAGAGGGAGTCACAGGCTCCGAAACAGGCTCCAGGCTCTGAGCTGCAGTCAGCACAGAGCCTGACGCGGGGCTCGAACCCACGAACCGCGAGATCATGACCTAAGCGAAAGTCGGACGCTTAACCGACTAAGCCACCCAGGCGCCCCTCTGCTGACACTTTTATTTGGACCCAGTGAGACCTGTTTCAGAAGTCTGACTTCCGGAAGGTAAGATAACAGAGTCATGTTGTTTTAACCTAAGTTTCTGTAGTTTGTTACAGTGACAATTTATAAACAAAAGTTTATAAGAGTTGGGGAGAAAAAGACCTTAATTTTTATTATCTTACTTAAAAACACCAGTTTGAACTGAGAATTTAAGTTTACTTATTGTGAGAGAGAGAGAAGAGCCCTGAGTGCAAGTGGGGTAGGGGCTGAGAAGAGAAAAGGCGAGAGGGAGAATCCCATGCAGGCTCTGCTGACAGCACAGAGCCAGATGCAGGGCTCCATCTCAGGAAGATCACAACCTGAGCAAGATAATGAGCTGAGCCAGAATTGAGAGTCGGACGCTCAACCGACTGAGCCACCTAGGCAACCCTGAACTAAGAAATTTCTAGAATTAAAAGTGTTAACTCCCTGTGGCCTGCCACTACCCACATCCCCTTCAGGTGGCTACTGGGGTCGTTACTGCTTGGGGGCTACTCCTCAGGTTAGGACTGTGGCCACCACGAGGGGCATCAGGAACCAGGACCCTTAGAGGCAATTTAGTACATTCTCCAAAGCTGGCTGTTTTCCCAGCATGGTTTCCAAACAGAATAATCATGTTGTTGATACCAAGTAACTGAGACGGTTCCCTTCCTTCAATGAACTAAACTTAATTCACAATATGATTTTATTAAAAAACAAAACACTTGAGCAGCACCTGGGTGGCTCAGTTGGTTGAATGTCTGACTTTGGCTCAGGTCATGATCTCAAAGTTCATGAGTTCAAGCCCCTCATGGGACTCCCTGCTGTCAGCGTGGAGCCTTCTTGGGATCCTCTGTCTTCCTCTCTCTTTGCTCCTCCCTCATTCACTCTGTCTTCTCTCTCTCAGAAATGAATAAACATTAAAAAATTTTTAATTAAAAAACACTTGAATATTTCTTTCCAAAATACTGTATCCTCAGCCTATGAAGTAAACTACTTGATATGTTGTCAGCTGTTGATAATCAAGGCACAGATGATCCATGGAATATGTAGTGCTTTGGAATGAACAACTAACTTCTGATTTCTCCTTCACCTTCTTACAACTGCCGTCGGTTTTGCCTATTGCTGTCTGCCCTGGAAGGAGCAGGAAGGAGAGAAGACATGGAAGTAAACTGTGTCTGTCTCCCTATTAATTAAGGTTTTGTCGCAGAAGAGTTTGTCACTTCCAGTTTAGTTAGCAACAGAAGTAGCTAATGTGGCCAAACATAAAAGCTAGAATTGTCGGTAACAAAGGGCAATAATAGTTAAATATCAACAGTAAGTTTTCCCTAAACTGAAAGGCCTTTTTTATTATAAAAGTTGCACATGTTGGTTGGAAAAAGCAAACAGAACTATATAGATAATTCATATTAGATAAAATAAATACTTTTGCAGTTCATCTATTCATCCGTATTTGAAAATAGTTTTGTTTCAATCACGAATATGTTCCCCGGGATGGGATTTTTTTCTCTCCTCTTGGCTTCCAAGTATGCAAAAGGAGCTTTAAAGAGCCAAGATGTGGCCTTAAGGTCGGGAGCTGGCCACACCTGCTTGGGGGCTTCAGTTTCTATTCCTTGTTAGCACAACTGAAACGTAAACTAACACCCCAAATTTTACCCTCCTGCTCACGAGGACTTTCATATGTACTGAAGATAGTCATGCAGATGTGACTTACACAAAGATCACATGCAGTCAAGTGTCCATGTTGCCACGTTTTCTGCACATTCTATAACCAAAAGTGATTTCATTATATAAAACTCATGTTCCAAGCAAGCGTGTTTTTGCACTCCATACCTGCTCTCTATAACGTGAAATACACAGTACGTTTTACGCAGTTGGCCTCAGATGGTCCGACACATGAACGATTTGAGAGCAGCTACCAGAAATGATACAGGTTCTTTCAAAAGCTATATGGAATTGTACAGATCTCTTAAAATGGGCTTTTAAGCGTGTTTCTCAGCAACTGGAGGCCTGTGCAGCTGTTTTAAGAACCTTTTGGCACAACATATGCTATTATCCATATATGTCATCCCAGTTTCAAATGATTGAAGAGATAACTCCCCCAGTCATGTCTCCTCTTGGGGGAAGGGGATGTACAAGCACTGGTTAGCACTGGGCAGAGCTGGTCCTCTAAAGTATAGCAAAAGCAGCACAACTGTGACATGGCCACCTGAGCTGGTGAATGACTCCGTAAAGGAATCATAGCAAGTTGATAATGAGGTTGGAGACTGAAATTTTGTTTGAAGGATATTAAAGCAGCATACATAGGAAAGAAGTCCCTTTAACTAGAAATGTGGAATCAAAACATTGAAATGGTGCACATCTGAAAAGAGAATAGATGATAAGATTGAGTGAGTCAGAAGCACATGAGTTGTAAGAGCTTGAACTCCAGAGACCAGATCAGGCAAGACTGCTTAATACCATCACATGATCTGCCCTGAGGCGCCCCGTATTTAATTAAAATAAGGAGTGGGGCACAGCGGAGGCCAGAAGAGCACTGCTGTTCTTAGCGGGTGGAGCCAGGGGAGTTTTTTAAAAAAACAACAACCTTGATTGCCTGGGTCTGTGAGAATTCAGCATGGAGTGTCTGTCTTGTCTGCTGGGATTTCTGCTTCTGGCTGCAAGATTACCTCTTGATGCCGCCAAACGTGAGTAACTGAGTTTCTGTGTTTAAGCTATTCTTTGTCTATCAACTAAAGTGATGGATTGTCTGAAGTATTGTCGTCTAAGCCAGAGGTGACTTCCTGAAGCTCCTCGGGAAGTTTTCGTGCTTCTTCATTTCTTCTGGAAACATTTAGGAATGTTGAAACCACCTCAAAATGATTCCAGCTCCAGTCTTTGCTCCGGCTCTTGGAAAGTAATAGCCACGCAGCCCCTCTCTTACCGAGCCTTTTTCCCCTTGCACTTGCCACCGTCTCTCTGGCTACACACAGGGAGGGTGGAGTTGTAAGGGGAACAGTCTCTGGCCTGAGAACAAAGCAATAGCACCCAACTGTAGCACTAAACTTGGTCTAGTTCTATCCAGTAGCACAGAGACCTCAAATGAAATGGGGCCCAAAATCGAGAGACTGGCTTGCTCACCCTCCCAGCCCAGAAGCTGTTGCTAGTCCTGTTGAGATTTTTTTACCCCACACACCTGCCGGAGCTTGCTGCCATTCGAGTCAGGTTACTTCGAGAAGAGCCGAAGCCCTGGGTCTCCATTCTAGTCCCACGTTTTCTAACGATGCTGAGGCCCAGGTCAATGAGAGCAGAATCTTCGGAGGTGGGCTTGGAGCCTCCTTGCTTAAAAAAGCTCCTCTTGGGGCGCCTGGGTGGCTTAGTCGGTTAGGCGTCCGACTTTCGCTTAGGTCATGATCTCGCGGTTCGTGGGTTCGAGCCCCGCATCGGGCTCTGTGCTGACTGCCAGCTCAGAGCCTGGAGCCTGTTTCGGTCTGTGACTCCCTCTCTTTCTGACCCTCCCCTGCTCACGCTGTGTCTCTCTCTCTCTCTCCTAGAAATAAATAAAACATTAAAAAAAATTAAAAAAAAAACCTCCTCTTGTAATTGGAACACAAAGTCAAGGTTTCGGCCCGCTGTGCCTGTGTGCGGCCCGCTTGTCTGTCCAGGGGATGGGTGGTGATGCACCCCCCCCCCGCCCCCTGCCATGCTCCTGCAGGTAGTGTGCGGTGGGAGAGGGAAGTGAATTACACATCACCCACAAGGTCCACTACACCTCACTGCAACAGAATAGGGACATTCACTGATGAAAAGTCCAGGAGTCCTTAGGTGCCTGGGTGGCTCTATGCTGACAGCTCAGAGGCTGGACCCTGCTTCAGGTTCTGTGTCTCCCTCTCTGCCTCTCTCCTGCTTGCACACATGCACTCTTAAAAATAAACATTTAAAAAACAAACACTTTAAAAGTCCAGGGATCCTGGGGCCCCTGGGTGGCTTAGTCGGTTAAGCGTCCGACTTTCGCTTAGGTCATGATCTCGAGGTTCGTGGGTTCGAGCCCCGCGTTGGGCTCTGTGCTGACTGCCAGCTCAGAGCCTGGAACCTGTTTCGGAGTCTGTGTCTCCCTCTCTGTCTGACTCTCCCCTGCTCACGCTGTCTCTCTCTCTCTCCTAGGGAAAAAAAAAAAAAAAAAGTCCAGGGATCCTGATTGTGCCAGACAATTCCATGGGGGATGGAGGTGGGGGAGGGTGGGAGGCATAGAGAAGGGGCCAGGGTCTACCTCGTGACCCTGTGTAGCCGCTATGCGGCTGCTGCACTGACCTCACCCGTACTCCCCACAACCACCTCTGCGGCAGAGACAGGCCTTCCCCTGTTCAACAGGTGCGGGGGAATCAACAGCCCAGGTCTTGTTTTGTACCTGCTGAGCCCACCTGTGCTCAGGCAGGACGTGGATGCATAGGCGCCTAGCCCTCTTTTCAATCCTCTTCTCCTTGTGAGAAGGAAAAGTCTTTTATTTATTTTTTGGGGGGAAGGAAAAGTCTTTTAATTAGGTTGCAGCGTGGGATCCCAGCAGGAATGTTGAGTCAAGAGAGGAAGAGAGGCAACTGCCGGTACCCCGGGAGTGCAGGCGGGTTTCCCCAAGACTGGAGAAGCTCAGGAAGGGGTGAGTGTGAGAAGGGGCTGCTGGGACTGCAGGGCCCCCTGGGGTGAGGGCAAAGGGGCAGGAGCAGAGTGGCCAGAGGCACAGCACATTCTCCTAGTGGCTGAGGCTTGGGCTGTGCTGGTCCCCGGCATGCCCCCTCCCACCCCACCCTGGCCATCTCTAGTGACTGGGTTGGGGAAGAGGCATCGTGTCCTTGATGAGGGAGTCTAGACGAAGGGATTTCTCGTGGCCGGGGGGGGGGGGGGGGGGGGGGGGGGGGGGGGGGGGGGGGGTTGCTGGGGAGCTGGGAGGCTGGCTCTGTGATGATCCTGTTTCCTAGACAAGGAACTTGGCCACAGAGAAGGCAAGTAACTTCCCCCAGGCTACACAGCAATTAAGAGGAAGAAAGCCCAAGCCAACCGTTCTCCTTCCTGCAGTTGGACAGACTTGGGTTCCCTACCAGCTGGGGGACTGGGCCACAAGTGACTTGGCAGCTTTGAGCTTTCATTTCCTCCGTTGCAAAACTGATAATGGGGTTCTTGTGAGATTACTTAACAGAAGGTGCTTGGGGTAGGAGTCCTACAAGGTAGCAATTGTCTTCCCTCAGTGTAGCTCCTTGGAGCTACAGAATTCTGTAGACAGAATTCCCTGGAGTCTGCAATGGTAGGAGATAGAGGGACAGAGAAGTCGACAGTCAGTGGAGACCCTTTGCCTAATTCTAGCCTTCTTTCCACCAGTACTAATTTGTTCTCAGAGAAACAGATTAGCCTGACCTTAAATATTGGCTGTGGGTTTGAGAGGAGCCCCAACTTATTAGGCAAAATGTAACAAAACCCATCATTCCTGTCTTCACCTTGCCCTAGACTAAATACTCTGTCCAGAAAAAAACAAGGATGGGTAGAATTTACCATTGTATCAAACACCACGGGATTCTTTGCCCCTTTCCAATCATAGCTCTGGTAAAAAGGAGGCAAGAGTAGGTATGAATAAAGTTGTTAACAGCCAACCTGGCCACCACCTATCTGCTGGTAGAGCAGAGATTCTAGAGAGGAGAGAGAAAAGCAGAGATTCTAGAGAGGAGAGAGAAAAGCCACAGGGATGCTGGTGGGATCTGTTTCCCTTCACTTCTATCCCTCTCTTCCCCACACACCTTTTTTTTTTTTTTTTTGCTTTTAAAACCTGCTTACTGTTGAGTGTCTTATTTTTAATTCCACGTTTTGAGGTCATTGTAGATTCACATGCAGTTTTAAGAAATAATGCAAAGAGAGTCCCCTGTACATTTTATCCTGTTTCTCCCAATGGTAACATCTTGCAAAATGATTATACAGTATCACAGGCAGGGTACTGATACTGATATAGTCAAAATACCTAACTGTTCCATCACAAGGGGCCCTCATACCCTTTAAAACCTATGTCCCTTTTCTACCCCACTTCCTGCTTTGGCAACTGCTAATCCATTCTCCATTTTTATAATTTTGTTACTTCAAGGATGTTATATAAAGGGAATCATTTCAGTATGTAATTTGAGGGCATTGGCTTTTTTTTACTCAACATAATTTACTGAAGCTGTTGTATGTATCAATAGTTCTTTCCTTTTTTGTTTTTAATAGTTCTTTTTTAATCACTGGGTAGTATTCCACAGTATAGAATATACCGCAGTTTAAGTATTCACCCATTGTGGGACATCTGGATTGTTCCAGTTTGAGCCACTATGAAGACAGTTGCAATGAACATTCATGCACAGGTTTTCATGTGATGATGAGTTTCCATTTCTTTGAGACCGATGCCCAGGAGTACAATTGCCTGGTTGCATGTTAATTGCATGTTTAGTTTTACAAGAGACTGCCAAACTGTCCTCCAGAGTGGCTGTACCATTTTATGTTCCCACCGGCAAAGTATGAGTGATCCGCCGACTTCACATCCTGGCCTAGGTTTGATACGTCACTATTTTTTTTAGTCATTCTAATAGGTGTATAGTGATATCCCGTTGCATTTTTAATGCACATTCATACTGGAGATGGTTTCATGTGTTTCTTTTGCCATCTGTACATTCTCTTCAGTGTAATGTTCAGATATTTTATCCGTTTTTAAATTAGACTGTTTTTTAATGTTGAGTTTTGAGAAATCTTTACATATTCTCGATATCCGTCCTTTATTAAAAATGCGGTTTGCAAATACTCTTTGCTAGTTTCTAATGTGCCTTTTGATTTTCTTCACATGTTATCTCACAAAGCAAAAGTTTTCATTTTAATGAGGCCTGATTTATCTTTTTTTTTTTTTTATGGATCATGTTTTTAATGTCAAGTTAAAAAATTCTTGCCTAGTCTAGAGGCTGAAAATTTCTCCTATGCTTTTCACTTTCTTAGAGCACCATTTGTTGAAAAGGGTATCTTTCGAAACTCTATTGGGTTGTTTTTGCATCTCTGTCAAAAACCAGTAGGACATATTTGAGTTGGTCTATTTCTACATTCTCCATTCTGTTCAATGGGCCTGTTTATCTATATTCTGTCATTCTGTTAAGTTCGTATTTTTCCTTGACTGATGACATTTAAAATCGGAGGAGAAATCCATGTTTTGATTATGTTTCTGGAAACACTGACTTTCTCTGAGGAAGAAGAGGACTCTTTGGAACAGTGGGAAAAATAGGTCCTGGGACTCAAAAGATGTGATTCTTCATTTCCACTCCATGAAAGGTGACCCTAAGTGAATCTGGTCACTTCGCTAGGCCCGAATTTCTTCATCTATAAAATGAAGTGATTTGAACTAATGTTAGTTTTTCCACATTGAATATTAGACCACTCCATGACTCAATTCGAATAAATATCCAGTTTTAAACATTGATAAACCTGCCTTCACTTAGTATCCGTTTCCAAACAAAAGCAATCTCACAGAATCACAAGACATTTGATTTTTGTCTTCCTTGTTTTTTCTCGGATTTGGAGGCCCTGAAAAGACCTGGCCTGAGGTCACACAGCCTGTTTAGTAACAAAATCAAGACTAGAAACCAAGTTTTATAACATTCACCCATTATGGGACATCTGGATTGTTCAGTATTCATTTCAATATTCTTTCCCATTCCATCTGCCTTCCTTATAAGAAGGAAACAACAGACTCTTCCCTCCACCTACCAAAAAGGAAAAATAGAAGACAGAGGTTAGTGGCATCCTTTCAAAATGGCTCCTCTTAGCACCTACTGAATACCACACCTTCTGGAAGTTCTCTTCCAGTATTTAAGAGAAGACAGGATTTCTGGGCCAGGTGACACAAGACCATATGAGTTGATGAGAAGACAGTTTAAGATATGTATGATTAGGGGCTGACTGTGGGTTATAGACAATTAAGCTTTTGGTTGTGAATAATGGAATACTCAAATAGGTTGAGTAAGACATTTGTTGTCTCAACCAGTCCAGATGCAAGCAAGGTCAGATAGATCAAGAGCTCAGTAGCATCAAGAACTCTTTTTCAATCTTCCGTTCTGACATCCTCAGTGTATTGGCTTCCTTCTTCAGATCTGTGCCCTCTTGGTGAAGTATGGCTGTCACAGCTCCAGGCATCACATCATTATATTACCATCTCCCAGATCACTTCTGATATGAAAAAAATGGAGGTTGTTCTTTTTATGTTTTTGATTTGGTTGTGTGTGTGTGTGTGTGTGTGTGTTTTATGAAGGAGGAAAATCTTTCCCAGAAGCCCTCAGAAGACTTCCTCTTAGCTCTGATTGGCCAGGTTCTAATCATCTGCCCATGCCAGTACCATAAATAAAACTAGGAAAGTGAGCCTTTGGAATTTTGAACTGTCAAAATATAAGCTCTGTAGCAAGGGCCGGGGGACAGGAGTGCATGCTGGAATGGCTGCTAGGTAGGCAACCAACCAATCTGCTGCAATCCCCAAAGAAAGGAGAGACCATGTGAGCTATGGAATTGTCAGGCAAGGGAAAAACACCAACTCAAGATGAGAAAGAATTTCAAAAGAATTAGAATTTTATAAAGCCTGGAGCAACCACACAAAAAGATAGAGCAGAAGAGGAGATAAACTTCAAAAATAAACCCATTTAAAAAAAGAACAAAGAATAGATGGGACAAATAGAAAAATAACAAAATGGTAGATTTAAATCCATAATATCAATAATTACATTAAATGTAAAATTACCTAAACACTGTGAAGATTTTAAAAAACCAGTAGGCTATCTATAAGAAACCCACTTCAAATGTAAAAATATAAATCAGTTAAGAATAAAAGGATAGGGGCTTCTGGGTGGCTCAGTTGATTAAGCATCCGACTTCAGCTCAGGTCATGATCTCACAGTTCATGAGTTTGAGCCCTGCCTTGGGCTCTGTGCTGACAGTGTAGAGCCTGTTTAGGATTCTCTCTATCGCTCTCTCTCTGCCTCTCCCCTGCTTGCTCTCTCTCAAAACTAAGTTTTTAAATATCTTAAAAGGATGGAAAAAGATGTAACTACTAAGCATTGCTATCAAGGCTTCTTCAGAACAAGGAATATTGCCAGACATAAAGGGCAATTCCTACTGGTAAGAGGATCTATTCATGAAAGAGACTCCACAATTCTAAACCAAGCTTCAAATTACACTAAACAGGGGCAATTGGATGGCTCAGTCAGTTGAGCATCTGACTGTTGATTTTGGCTCAGGTCATGAGATTGAGCTCTGCATCAGGCTCTGTGCTGGGCACGGAGCCTACTTATGATTCTCTCCCTTCCCCTCTGCTCATCCTCTTCTTCTCTCTCTTTCAAAAAAAAAATAATAATAAATAAGCAAAAGCGATAGAACTGAAGAAATTGAAAAATCCCATAATTATAGATGAAGATTTCAACAATCCTCCCTTAGTAATTGAAATAACAAGTGGACAGGAAATCAGTAGCAACAATAGAAATCTCAAAAAGCATTATCAGGTTGCCTGGATGGTTCAGTTGGTTAAGTGTCCGACTTTGGCTCAGGTCATGGTCCCATGGTTCATGGGTTCAAGCTCTACTTTGGGCTGTGCTCTGACAGCTCAGGCCTGGAGCCCATTTCACATTCTGTGTGTTTCTCTCTGCCCCTCCCTCACTTGTGTGTGCTCTCCTCTCTCTGTCAGATAAATAAATAAATGTTTTTTAAAACTTAAAAAAAAAACATCAGCTAGCTCTTAAGATAAATGATGCTTTAAAAACACATATTACACGGGGCGCCTGGGTGGCTTAGTCGGTTAAGTGTCCGACTTTCACTTAGGTCATGATCTCGCGGTTCGTGGGTTCGAGCCCCGCGTCGGGCTCTGTGCTGACTGCCAGCTCAGAGCCTGGAGCCTGTTTCAGAGTCTGTGACTCCCTCTCTCTCTGACCCTCCCCTACTCATGCTGTCTCTCTCCTAGAAATTAAAAAAAAAAAAAAAAAAACATTAAAAAAAAAACACATATTACACAATATATATGGAACATTCACCAAGTCTGACCATATACTGGGCTGTAAAAAATTAGATGGTTCAGGTTCAACAGGGGGCTCTCCAGTACTGGTTTGCTTTTCTTGGAAAACTGAGGCATTCCTCAGCCTGGCATTCTTTTAGCCAAGAGAACATTTATCATTGGCAACAGGGTTTTCTTAATTATATCAAATCCAAATATTCAGAGAATACGTATTGAGAAACCAAATAATGGCTAAGAAATAATGACTTTGAAATTTTTTCCTTTAAATTGTACTCCTTTGAAGTACAGAAAGAGGATCTGAATAGTTCTATTTAAGCTATTTCCAGTAGACATTAAAACACACACATACACAGGGGTGCCTGGGTGGCTCAATTGGTTAAACGTTTGACTCCGGCCCAGGTCATGATCTTTCAGTTCATGAGTTTGAGCCCCGCATCAGGCTCTCTGCTGTCAGCTCAGAGACTTGCCTCAGGTCCTCTGTCCCCCCCCCCCTTTTTTTTGCCCCTCCCCTGCTCGCTCACTTTCCCCCCTTTCTTCCAAAAACAAATATTTCTAAAAATTTTAATAAAAAGACAACTTCTATTTGTTTGACATATAGGAAATATCAAGTATGACTTTCCAAGCTTATGAAATGAAAAGTTGCTTTATTTTTAGGTAAGTACTAAATGTAGAATGAAATAGACCAAATAATTTGTTTTTCAAATATTGATATAGGATTTCATGATGTGCTGGGCAATGAAACAACTTCTGGTTATATGAGGGAGTACAGCCAACTCAATGGCTGGTCTTCTGATGAAAATGAGTGGAATGAAAAGCTGTATCCAGTGTGGAAAAGAGGAGACTCGAAGTGGAAAAACTCCTGGAAAGGTAAATCAGAAGATTCAAGGCAAACAAGGATCCTTTCTTATCTAAGTCAGTCTTGTAGATTATAGACTTGGAGATCACATGGCTTGTGTTGCTTCTGTGAACAAAGGGACTCTAAGAAGTGGGAGCCACCTGGATTTAGCAACCTTTCCTTTATCTCAATACTATCACTTTCTAAGTCACACACAAAAGTTTAATCTCCTTAGAAACTGATAAGTTTGTAGTTCTTGGAAGATTTTGGAGAGCAAACAGGTTTAGCCTCAAATTTATTTATCTAATATGAGAATGGTCCTCTTCAGAAGATCTGAGACTCTGGAGTAGTTTTGACCATCTCAAAGATGTGGTTTATCAGAAAGTGAATATCTTGGCATATGCATGAAAGAATGAGTCCTTCAGTCATTGGTTTTGAGTTAAAAAAATATAAACCTTTAAAACTTGTTTCTTCAATCCAACAGGGTTTTTTTTTAACTTTAAGTAAAAGTTCTTTGTATGCTTAGATAATTCTTTAATTAGTTTGACCTTTTTAAAATTTTTTTGTGTTCTAGAATGTTGTACTCTGAAAGCAACAGTTAGGAATCCAGAAAATAATTTATAATCGTAAAGAGGCATAAAGATGGGAGGGCTCCTGGCTGGTTCAGTCAGTAGAGCACAGGACTCTTGACCTCCAGGTCACAAGTTCAAGCCCCACACTGGGTATGGTCCTTATAAAAAAAAAGGACAAATATTTTTTTTAAAAAATGCATAAGGAGGCTCTGGTCCTTATTAGTGGACTTAACTCATTGTTTATTTATCAGTGAAAGGAAAAAGATGCTTGATCATTAAGCTGCACTTTTTTATGTCCTAGGAGGCCATGTGCAGGCAATTCTGACCAGTGATTCTCCAGCCCTTGTAGGCTCAACTATAACATTTGTGGTAAACCTGGTATTCCCCAGATGCCAAATGGAAGATGTCAATGGCAACATAGTTTATGAGAAGAACTGCAGAAATGGTAAGAAATGTTATTCATGCCACAGGAACAGGCTAGTTCTCCTAACTAATGGAGAACCTTCTCATAAACCTAAAGGCTCACAGGTACTTCTGTACATGCAAGATGCTATTATCTCATGTCACCCCCTACTCAAACTGTATGACGGGAGGGGGGGGTTGCTCCACCCAGTTCCTACATCAACATTAGCCAAACTCACTTGAGCAAAACTGATGGCTTTCTGCTACTTGGAACCTTCTTCAAAAGTTATATTGTCACGCTCAGCCTTCTCTTAGTGTCTAGTTGATTGGCCAGAGAATACTCTCTGTCAGTTCTCAGATTTTTGTTTGGTTACTGGGAATTCTTTTGGCTACTCAAAGAATAGCCAGTTTGATGATGTTTACTGATGAGATTAATTTCTGCTCACAAGTATCACTTATGCAAATGGATAGATAGCACAAATGCTCAAATGTGTATATTTTGGTTTTGCTTTGCTCTTAAAGCAAGTAAGCTCTTTGTACAAGTTAAAGAGCACAAATGAACACAAATGCATCAAGGGAAACTATCTTGAGAACTGCACTTTCTCAAAAACTCTGAGCTAACTAGTGAGATTCTTTGATTATTGGCAAGACTGTTAAATGCACTTATGATCTGATTTTCTTTGCATTTATTATTTTGAGAGAACTTGTGAGTTCAAGGGTGGGGAGAGGGGCATAAGGAGGAAAGAGAGAATTCCATGCAGGCTCTGTGCTGACAGCATGGAGCCAGATGTGGCGCTTGAGCCTACAAACATTGTATCATGACCTAAGTCAAGACCAAGAGTTGGACACTTAACTGAGTGAGCTGCCCAGGTGCCTCTATGATCTGATTTTATTACTTACAACCTCTAATACATTGTCAATGTGTTCATTCCTCATTAATTTATCATCTTCCTATTAGGAATTGTATATTAGATTCTGTACAAAAAGGGTTTGATATTTTTAAACGGTTAAGTGCTTAATATTTTGTGGTAATTTTTCTCTTTTCTAAAAAGCTGATTCTTATGAATATTTCAAATGACAATCTAGCTCTCTGATCTTTTTTATATAAAGGAGTCCCTGTGACTTATGAAAAATTTTATATAATATCTATCACCACTAAAGGGAACTAGGGGGTGGGTTCCTGGGTGGCTTAGTCGGTTAAGCGTCTGACTTTGACTCAGATCATAATCTCATGGTTTGTGAGTTCAAGCCCCGCATCAGGCTCTGTGCTGACAGTTCAGAGCCTAGAGCCTGTTTCAGATTCTGTATCTCCTTCTCTCTCTGCCCCACTTCCACTTGTGCTCTGTCTCTCTGTCTCTCTCTCAAAAAAAAAAAAAAAAGAAACATTAAAAATATTTTTTTAAGGAACTAGGGATCTTTGAGGAAAATACCAATTCCAGGTCTAGGATAGGGAAAATACCAGGTGAGCCTGCGCAGAAGTGAGGAAATGTTCAAGGACTGATGGGGACACATCACAAAAACACAGGAGCCAGCTTGAAGGGACTCTCACTAGCTATTTGGGACAATTTAAGAATTAAAAAACAACAATAGATTGATAAATAAAAAGGTTCTTCAAAAATATCAGTGACATAAAAAATACCAAGAGGATGAGGAAACTATTCTAGGTGAAAAGATACTTATCATGTCTAGTTTAAGATGAAATATGTTGGGGCACTTGGCTGGTTCCGTCAGTAGAGCATGCAACTCTCGATCCTGGGGTCATGAGTTTGAGCCCCATGTTGGGTATACAGTTTACTTTTAAAAAGAAAAAAAAGGGGCGTCTGGGTGGCTTAGTCGGTTAAGCGTCCGACTTTCTCTTAGGTCATGATGTCGCGGTTCATGGGTTGGAGCCCCGCGTCGGACTCTGTGCTGACTGCCAGCTCAGAGCCTGGAGCCTGTTTCAGTCTGTGACTCCCTCTCTCTCTGACCCTCCCCTGCTCACGCTGTCTCTCTCTCTCTCCTAGAAATAATTAAAAATATGTTAAACTTTAAAAAAAGAGAAAAAAAAAGAAGAAATATATGTACAAAAAAGTTGAAATCAGATACACTGAGTACACAAATACCTTCTTTTTTTTAAATTTTTTATTTATTTCTAGGGGGGAGAGAGAGAGAGAGAGAAACAGCATGAGCAGGGGAGGGTCAGAGAGAGAGGGAGACACAGACTCTGAAACAGGCTCCAGGCTCTGAGCTGGCAGTCAGCACAGAGCCCAACGCGGGGCTCGAACCCACGAACCGCGAGATCATGACCTAAGCGAAAGTCGGACACTTAACCGACTAAGCCACCCAGGCGCCCCCAAATACTTTCTACCTAGACTCAACAATTGTAACTTGTTGCCGTATTTACTTCTATCTATTTTTTCTGGTCATTTGAAGAGACAAAATAGCCAAATGTGGTATATGACCCTTGATTGGACTTTAGTAGGAGTAGTAATGACACTGAGGTTATGTAGGAGAATGTCCTTCTTATTAGAAGTGTGCCAAAATCTTTAAAAGTAGAGAGTCATTTGATGCCAAATGACTCAGAAAAGGGGGGAAAAAAAACCTACAGAAGGCAGTATCAACATAAAAAGATAAAACATCCTTCAGTTTGATTTGAACACAGTGTTATTCAGAGATATAATATTAAAAATAGGTATATTGTGGGGCGCCTGGGTGGCTTAGTCGGTTAAGCGTCCGACTTTCGCTTAGGTCATGATCTCGCGGTTCGTAGGTTCGAGCCCCACGTCGGGCTCTGTGCTGACTGCCAGCTCAGAGCCTGGAGCCTGTTTCAGAGTCTGTATCTCCCTCTCTCTCTGATCCTCCCCTGCTCACACTGTCTCTCTCTCTCTCTCCCCTAGGGGAAAAAAAATAGATATGTTGTGATATCTCTAGATTGAACCTTTCTAAATAATTGCTTTGGGTGAAACTTTTACTGAAATATAACCTATTTGCAGGAAACAGTCATAAATATGCACCTCCGGGTGAGTTCTGAATATTAGGGTTTTAGTTGTCCAACTGTATTTATATTTATAAAAAATAGGAAAAGATGTTTAATTCCGTGATGAACATTAAGCTTTCTGAGCCCACATGACAAGCCTGGCTTGTGTCTTTCTCTGTTTAGATACTGGTCCATCTCCTGACCCATATGTTTACAACTGGACGGAGGAAGTTGACTGGGGAAATGGCAACAGCCCAGGCTATCATGTGTTCCCTGACGGAAGGCCCTTCCCTCACCACCCTGGATGGAAGAGATGGAATTTTGTCTACGTCTTTCACACACTTGGTTGGCCTTTATACAAAACCTTCTTACCTGCTTTTTTACCTTCCCTCAAAAGTTTACCTTTTTTCTTTTTTCTTATTCCATAACCAAGAATTCTCACACTAAGAGTTTCACAACAGTCACTCTGTTCTTTCCTTTGTTGGAGTGGAGGGTAAAGGATAAAAATAAAATCTTGTTTAGCCTTAACAAATCTTCGGGACACTAAAGAATTGAAAGATGGAGGGGAAAAGGATTCCATTTTTCCTTTAAAATAAAACTATTCAAATTTTTTCTGTCTAACACAGTAATATGAAAAAAATACTAATATTTATTCGAGTGGCACACAGATGGGCATTTGATTTTTTCATTAAATTTTTTGTCAAAAGAATTTTTAAAAAGGAAACTTAAGCTCTTTATAGGAAACTTGAAAAATGCAGAAAAGTACAAGTGAAAAATGAAAAGTATATCATGAACACCAGATGTTACCACTGTTAATGCAACGGTGGGGTTTTTTTGCTAGTATTTCTTAACATTATACTGTATACACATTTTTGTTGAATATCATGAGCATTTGACTCTATTATTAAAATTCTTTATGTACATTATTTTAATGGCTGCATAATATTCCATTGTGTAGAAATAACATAATCTCACTACTATTCTTCTCTTTTTTTAAAAGCACAAATGGTAACCACTTTTGTTTTATTATTGGTGAAGTGATTATTTTTAAGAGGAGCAAATTTAGGTTATAATTAGCAAAGCTGCTAAGTTCTTAGTTGAAAATGTCACCAGGTCCCACCTTGTTCTGAATGTATAAAAACTGCTACACTCGTACAGGCTCCAAATTTCTAAATGTTTCGTCTTGATAAATCAAAGTTTCTTTGTCTGATTAACTCATTTATAAATCAAACAAATATTAACAGTGTACATCAGTTTAACGAGGTACAAAATATAGATCAAATATTATGCCCATCTAGTTAAATCAGGGGATTGAAGGCTGACTTTGTTTCATTGCCTTCACGGCCCTAGCAGTCAATTCACCAAATGTCATCATTTCTTTGACCTTACCATTTGCACGGAGTCATGTATGCTCACTAACACCCCAGTATCTTTTTAGCCCAGTTGACATCCATTAATTTAGCTAGTTAGGATGTCTTTATTAAGAATCAGCTTTCAGCCCAGAAATTGCAGTTTTTCTAAGAAGACTTTTGAATTTCCATCTTCTAACATCTCTGAGCTAACTGATAATCTCCTTCAACTACCAGTTGCTTCTGTAGTCTCTCAGTGCCCAGGCTAATGTTTCCTCACATATAACTAACCGCTGAGAGATACCTCTTTCCCCTACAACCTCTAACAAAACTGCCCCTGCTCAAGGTAAAAGGGATCCCGCATGACATCTCCCTAAGAAGATTAGTGTATTTTTCTGATACCTTTGACCATGTAATAAGCATGGTCCTTGGACATCCCCACAAGCATCCGTCTTACCATCCCCATTTTTCCAATCACACATCTATGCTGAGTGCCTCAATGGTATTAGAAAAACATCTCTGTGCTCTGAAGGAGAGGAATTACCTTCACTAGCTAGCCAGTGGTAGTTAGATTTACGTGAGGGTTGGAGAAAGAAAAAGAATGTGTCAGGAATGTCCTAGGAATGTATTTATAGAACCACTGCATTTTTTTATACCTACCACACCCTACTTGTTAATCACTTACTGCATTTTTTTTTTTAAGAGAGAGCACACACACTTTCACAAGCGGGGGAGGCGCAGGGAGAAGGAGAGACAGAATCCCAAGCAGGCTCCATGCCATCAGCACAGAGCCTGATGCGGGGTTCGAACTCACAAACTGTGAGATTATGACCTGAGCTGAGACCAGGAGTCAGACACTTAACCGACTGCACCACCCAGGCACCCCCTGCCTGCATTTTTATATATGAATACCATTAGAAAGTGGAGGATTCTAGTCCCGGGGGGGGGGGGGGGAAAGCTGCTCAATAATAGAGCTGAAAGAGTAATATTGTTACAACAATAAGGTAGATTTTTAGATAAGTTTTTTTAACTCCTTTGGATACTTTTCTATGGGAAACATGTATTTCAAGTGCATGATCACTTATAAAAACTTTATTTGCAAACTTAGGACTAACTAGTATCCCACTAAACAGCTCTTTTCATTGTAACCAACTACATACAATTATATTTATTTAACTGTGGGTTTGCTCTACAAGGTTTGACATGAAATAAGCACCATCTTCCTTTCTGAAGCACTCAGGACCACATCCCCATCCTGTTTTTCCTTTTTCAGACCACTCTCTAAGTGGCAGTCACTAGTCATTAAGAAACAACAACTTCCTAAAATGATCATGTAATGTGGCCAGTAACTAAAAATTTCCATCCTCTCAAAGGTCAGTATTTCCAGAAATTAGGACGGGGTTCAGCAAGAGTTTCTATGAACACAGCCAATGTGCCACTTGGCCCTCAACTCATGGAAGTAGCTGTGTATAGAAGACACCGACGGTCATATGTTCCAATTGCAAAAGTGAAAGATGTGTACGTGGTAACAGGTAAGTAGTGTGAACTCTAAATTAACTGATGGTAAAGCACTTAGTTCTGGTGACTAGTGGGTTAAGAGTTAGAGCCAAATGTTCTGGGTTAGGTTGTGATTCATATAAGTTCCTTCACAGGCTTATATATTTACTTACGTTGTACCTCATCTATGATTCCAGAATAACTTGGGAAAACTCTAGAAAACTTGCATAGGAGAAGGGAAAATTATGCTGAATTATTCCTAATTTTAATTTTTTAACTGAAAGCATTAGTGAAGTCATCCACTTAAAATCAAGCAATCATGTGTTCTTTCTGTTTTGGGGTATATTTTTTAGATCATATTCCTGTGTTTGTGACTATGTACCAGAAGAATGATCGAAATTTATCTGATGAAACCTTCCTCAGGGACCTTCCCATTATGTTCACTGTCCTGATTCATGACCCCAGTCACTTCCTCAATGAGTCGGCCATTTACTACAAGTGGAACTTTGGAGATAATACTGGTATTTTTGTTTCCAACAATCCAACTCTGAATCACACGTATGTGCTTAATGGAACCTTCAACCTTAACCTCACTGTGCAAGCTGTGGTGCCTGGACCCTGTCCTTCATCTTCACCCAAACCTCCAATACCCACCTCTTTTTTATGTAAGTATTTTCCAGGTGATCTTTGACTGGGGCAGGGGTGGAGGTGTTCCTTAACAGCGCACGCGCACGCGCGCGCGCGCGCTCACACACACACACACACACACACACACACACACACACAATATAGGTTACATAATTAGATCCCTAGTTTAAAGGATTGTGTAGAGACTCTGCAGTGATTCCTTCTGTACCTGTTATTCTTTAGCCACTTTATCACCATTTTAAGCTGTTAGAATAGAGAAGACAGAAGAGTATGTTTAAAGTCATTTTGCAAGTAGAATTTCATGACTCGTACACAGCTCTTTGACTTTCCTAATATGTACTGGTCCTCGTTATGTGTAGAGATGCTTTCCCTCTCCGGCCCATCCCATTTCTGGTACTCTCCCATTTTTTTCTAGCTATGAAAAGACACCTTGGCCCTTATAAACTTTCAGGTCATCCCCACTTCCAATCTTCTCCCTGACCCGCCCACATCCACCTAGTGTCCCATGAAAACACAGCCATGCTTGAAAGTAGTTTCCAGGGGCGCCTGGGTGGCTTAGTCGGTTAAGCGTCCGACTTTCGCTTAGGTCATGATCTCGCGGTTGGTGGTTTCAAGCCCCGCGTCGGGCTCTGTGCTGACTGCCAGCTCAGAGCCTGGAGCCTGTTTCAGTCTGTGACTCCCTCTCTCTCTGACCCTCCCCTGCTCACGCTGTCTCTCTCTCTCTCTCCTAGAAATAAATAAAACATTAAAAAAATTTTTTTTTAAAAAAGAAAGTAGTTTCTAAATGGCCCAGGAAAGAATGCACCTTGAGAGTATTTTATGGTGAGCAAGCTAGAAAGACTCCAGACATTATAATTGTTCTGGATATAAGGCATTATTAGTTAAATCCCACACTCTACTGACAGTATATAAGGACATTCAAGAAGTTCTTAAGAGTCGGGGCGCCTGGGTGGCTCAGTCAGTTAAGTGTCCTACTTCGGCTCAGGTCATGATCTCACAGCTCACGGGTAAGAGCCCCGCGTCGAGCTCTGGGCTGACAGCTCAGAGCCTGGAGCCTGTTTCAGATTCTGTGTCTCCCTCTCGCTCTGACCCTCCCCTGCTCACGCTGTCTCTCTCTGTCTCTCAGAAATAAATAAAAACATTAAAAATTCTTTTTTAAAAAAGACGAAGCTCTTAAGAGTCTTCTTTGGAAAATGTTAGCTGCCATCTGATGCCCCCTCCTACCCTACTCTGCCTTTAGCACATCTTAGCACTCCTGATAAAATGAATGGTAAAAGGTTGACATTCCCTCACTGGTCACAAGAGGGCGCCATCACCAAGCCCAGAGGAAATCACTCCATCATCACGTTCAGACTTCTTGCAATTCTTTTTCTTTCTTTTCTTTTCTTTCTTTCTTTTTTTACCAAATAATCGTTATAATAGTGTGTTATTAATAAAATGAGATCTTGTTAAGTCTGGCCTATCTAAATCAACACACTACAAGTTATTACTGATTTTGATTCATTATTTTTGAAATGTTTTAAATTACAAAATTAATGCATGTTCCTTAATAAAAATTCAAGCGATAGAGAAGTCTAGACTAAAAGTGAAAATCCCTATTCACATTCTCCTCCCAAGAGTTAAACCTTGTTAATAGTTAAGAGCATTTCTTTCCAGATCTTTCTCTATGCATCACAAACATACTATATAAATGTGTATAGATGTTGTTGTTTTGATTTTTGTGTAAATGGTCTCCTGCTATATATATGGTTCTGTAATTTGCTTTTCTTCACTTAACACACACCATAGACATTGTTCCCTTGTCAGTTCATATAAATGTAACTCACTTTCATCAATGGTTACCTAGTATTTCATTGTATATATAAACATAGTATATAAGTAACATAGGGTGTATAAACGTATAGTTTATTTAACCATTGTCTTATTGATGGTTGATTAGGTTAATCCTAGTTCCAGTTACAAATATAACTGTACCGAACAGCTCTAAACATATAGCTTCATTCTGGTATTTCGCTAAGAATTTCTTTTTCTATAATTATTGATGATCTTCCTTATAAATAAGGAGACCAGGTATAAAACTAAAAATAAATTGTAGGGGCGCCTGGGTGGCTTAGTCGGTTAAGCGTCCGACTTTCGCTTAGGTCATGATCTCGCGGTTCGTGGGTTCGAGCCCCGCAGCGGGCTCCGTGCTGACTGCCAGCTCAGAGCCTGGAGCCTGTTTCAGAGTCTGTGACTCCCTCTCTCTCTGAACCTCCACTGCTCATGCTCTCTCTCTCTCTCTCCTAGAAATAAATAAAAAACATTAAAAAAAATTTTTTTAAAGAAAAAAAAATAAATTGTAGATGCCTGTAATTCTAGAACTGTCCAGAAATTCCTAAAAGGTAAAGGATTTAATGTAAGCTTATTTACATTAAGCTTACATTTACATAAGTCTATTTTAAATTGCATTTTTATTAAGCTTGTTTCTCTTAGAATGTATTTATATCATATAGCATATATAAAAATATATTTTAAGTCAATGAAAAGGTATTTCAATTTTTTGTTATTATTTCCATAGGCTAGAAAATTAGATATAAGGTAGTAACCTTATGAGTTAGTTACATTTTATAGTGAAGAGAAGCTGCCTGGCTTTATCTAATTGGTCCTTTAGTTACACCTTGACTTTATAGACACATGGATATAGACTTGACCTTATAGATATGTCTAGAAAACTCCATATGCATTTTTATAAGCATTCTACCAAAGGTAGAAGCCTTAACTTTTGTCACTTAGTCGTTTTTTAAAAGAAGTTTTATTTTAAAAGATGGCAGGGTCATGATTCCGTGTTCTAACTTGATAATTTCTGTCTGTTAAGCGGTCCAGCCATCTTTAATACCCAGCACAAAAAAAATTTCTTGCTGCATCTTTTTTCCAAAGCATGTTCCATGCAGCACCTGTTTCCAGAGAAGCTCTGAGAATTACTCAGAGAAGGCCCTCCAAACAAATGAGAGTCACAGGGCACAGCCAACCACCCACCGGAAGCTCAGACGAGCCCTCGAGAAGTCTCCCAGCCAGCTTCATACCTACATGTCACTGTGTTAGAGTGCAGCTCATTTGAAGTTTTGACACCCTTCCCACCCCCCAACTAGGTTCACTTTCATGTCTCTTGAAATTTTCAATATCCTGTTTTCCTTTCATTCTTTTAATTCTATTAAAGGAATACCAACACTGCTTTTTAAATTGTAACTAGTAGAGCATTAACTTCTTTGCTTTAATCATAAACAAGGTATTTTCTTTTCTTAATGTTTGTTTATTTATTTAGAGAGAGAGCACAAGCAGAGGTTGGGGCAGAGAGAGAGAGGGAGAGAGAATCCCAAGCAGGCTCCCCACACAGCACAGCTACCAATGCAGGGATCAGTCTCACAAGTGTGAAATCATGATGTGAGACAAAATCAAGAGACAGCTGTTTAACTGACTGAGCCACCCAGGTGCCCCTCAACAAGTTATTTTCAAAAGTGTCTGGTATTTATTCCTTTCCTTCCTCACACCTCAGTCCATCAATAGCTACAAGACTTTTCGAATATAAACTTTGGAGCTATGAAACACCCAAACAGGAAAAGAATTACCTTTCTCTTTGTTGCTTGCTTTGTAATCTCTTATGTACCAAACTTCCCATCTGAAAGTATGTATCTATATATGTTGTGGCATATCTACATGTACATTTAAATAGATGTATGGAGATACATCTTGGGACAAGGAACCATATTTATTAAGGATTTCCTATATGGCGGGCATAGTTCAACCTTAGTGGGCCAATAGGTGTTATTCCTATTTTATAGATGTGCAAATTGAAGCAAGGACAGGTCAAATGATGTGCCCATGGTCTCAAACATTTCAAACCAAGAGACCTGGAAGTTGAGCCCAGAACACCTGCCTCAAAAATCAAAATATGATTTTATCAAAACTTGCTTGGTTTCGGGGCGCCTGGATGGCTTAGTCGGTTAAGCGTCCGACTTTCGCTTAGGTCATGATCTCGCGGTTCGTGGGTTCGAGCCCCGCGTCGGGCTCTGTGCTGACTGCCAGCTCAGAGCCTGGAGCCTGTTTCAGTCTGTGACTCCCTCTCTCTCTGACCCTCCCCTGCTCACACTGTCTCTCTCTCTCTCTCCTAGAAATAAGTAAAACATTAAAAAAAAAAAAACTTGCTTGGTTTCATCATGATTGTTGTATCACACATTTTTTTTTTTTTAATGTTTTATTTATTTTTAGGAGAGAGAGAGAGAGAGACAGCGTGAGCAGGGGAGGGTCAGAGAGAGAGGGAGTCACAGACTGAAACAGGCTCCAGGCTCTGAGCTGGCAGTCAGCACAGAGCCCGACGCGGGGCTCGAACCCACGAACCGCGAGATCATGACCTAAGCGAAAGTCGGACGCTTAACCGACTAAGCCACCCAGGCGCCCCAGTTGTATCACACATTTTAATATGGCTTCTAACTTTCATTTGATTCCCATGTTTCAAGAAGATACAGGATTGTGTTTACTACCATAATTTAATAGTTCTAATGCCTCATAGTTCTTACATCTATATGAATCATTACATAGTTCAAATTTCCACAGTGATTTAATAGCATAGTACTCTTGATGTTTTTCTAAAGGGCAGGTAGATGTTTAGATTTTTTATTTTCATGCACCTGTTTAGATTTTTGGTTATTATGAACATGTACATCTTTTACATTCTCAGCAACTAATCTAAAATCTTATCATTCCACCTCTCCAGCATCAGCTAGTGACAATCCCCTGGAGCTGAGGGAGACTCCCGATGAAATGTGCCAGATTTACAGATACGGTTACTTTAAAGCCACCATCACAATTGTAGGTAAGAGCAACAGATGTTAGATGGATGTTAGAATCTACCTCGGGCCACCCTGCCACTCTGCTGAGTCTGGAGAGGGGGGCAGGGTCACCCTCTCTGCTCAAGGTGACATCACATGTGCACAGGCAAAGACTCTACCAGTGTCTAGATTCCCACCTGCCTCTCTGGCCTTCCTTAGACTCCTGGTGGAAATGAGTCCAGCATAAGGCCCACATGCTAATGAGCCTGATCCCCAACTGTGCATTCCAGAAATCTGAATGAAGGTGACTTGAAGGAAGGCCAGTAGCAAGTTCCCAAACATCCACTTCATTCCTCTAGCTGGTTTCACAAAGCCAAACTTCTGGTGCATAAGAAAGGGCCACCAGAGGTGGCTGTGCACTGTGGGCCCTGCCCACAGGTACCCCACAGAGATGACAGGTGGGGGCTGAAGCCCAGGTTGTGCACCTGGGGCTCAGAGAAGCTGGCCAAGGCCTGAGCCTGAGGCTGCATCTTCCCAGAAGGTAACTTTTTCTGAAACTCCTGCCTAGAAGGAGTGCTGCCTTCTAATACATCCACACGCTCCAGAAATGAAGAGCTGGGTTGCAATGAAGAACAGTTAGTTCAATTCAAGCTGTGGGGTAGTTCCTAGATCTGGTGTGAGTCTGGTATGGCGAGAAGGCTTTCTGGTCTATTAAGTAACAGTTTGCTTTGGTTTCTGTTGTATTTTGATGTGTTTTTCTATGGGGGTTGTTTTGTTAGAGGGAATTCTAGAGGTTAACATCATCCGGATGGCAGATGTTCTGATGCCCGCACCGCAGACTGACAACTCCCTGATGGATTTCGTCGTGACCTGCCAAGGAAAGTGAGTACACATCAGCCAGAGGAGCGGGTCAAGGCCTGAGCAAAGGCCTTAACGCCGTGTCCCCTTCCAGGTTGATTTAACTTCCTGGTTCATCAGTCAGCTGCGACAAGGAAGGGCCCTGTGAGGTGCTCTGAAGCACACACTTGTTTTGCTAGAGTTGAACAGTGCTCATTACCTTTAACTGTTGATGAAATTGAATAATAATTATTGAACACTTACAGTGTTTTTCACATTTTACATCTGTTTTCATACTGAACCCTTATCCAATCCTGAGTCTCCTCATTTTACAGATGGACCCACTGAGGCACACAGTGATTCTAGAACTTACCCCAGATATGGTGGATACCTGCAGAGCACGGTTCACTGGCTGTGATCTGGCCCCAAACACAGCTCTTCATTCCCTGAGGCCCCTCTGAGTGGTGGGGAGCCAGTGTGGAATGACGGCACCCTAGCGATAATTAATAAAAAAAAAGGGACAGATAAGAAACCTGGGGAGAGGAGAGGGATGAGGATGGCAAAAAATTGAGAAAAACCTACTGGAGGAGTGAAGCCAGCCGAGAAGAGAGCTTGTCCTCCGTGCCACCCATGCCTCACCCGCCCCAGCATCAGAGCTTGGTCTCTGTGTCCGGGAGGTCCACTCACAGGTGACACAGTGGCTAAGACAGTAATGCATGGCCACTTTGCCTCCCGTGGTTGGCAAACTTCCTTTATTCAAGTCCCAGATCCACCTCGGCTTGTGTGACCTGGGGCCAGTCTCTCCCCTTCCCCAGCTAGTTTCTCACCTGCTACAGGAGGCTAATCTTACTTTCCTTATCAGGTCATTGAGAGGAATAAGCAAGACCATGTCACACATCTACAGCCCCATGCCTTGCACGTAGTAAATACTGCATAAACAGCTGCTGCTGCTGTCACTGCTATACCTCAGCAGGGACCCGGGCAGGGCTGGATCTGGCATTTAATAATATATTTGCTGAACACCTAAGCCGTCTATATCTGCAGGCATTCTAGGGAGCTCAGAGGTGGGGGAATGACTTGCTCTTCATACAGTTTCCACCAGCCCCTTGCCTTGGGGCCTCATAATTTCATCCTCCTCCACTCCCAGGGCCACACCTTTCTGAGGCCACAGGGGAGGCAGTAGTTCACACGCAGGCTTTTAAAGAAAAAGTTATATGTGACAATTTGACATCATACGGTTTGACATTCTTACATCGTATGCAAGAATAAAAGAATAAAGTGGAATTCAGTTTTTTAGATGTGTAATGATTGTGCTTGTCCCTTCCAAACTGATACTGCATGTCTCTCCCTTGGCACCCGCAGCACCCCCACAGAGATCTGTACCACAGTGTCTGACCCTACCTGCCAGCTCCCCCACAGCACCGTGTGCGACCCTGTGGATGTGGACGCGGCTGGTACCTGCTTGCTGACTGTGAGAAGAGCCTTCACTGGGTCTGGGACATACTGTGTGAACCTCACTCTGAGTGATGATACCAGTCTGGCCCTCAAGAGCACCCTGGTCTCTGTCCCTGCAAGAGGTAAGTTTTATGGTTGTGCGAACATTTCATATTGCAGGTACAGTGTGTGTCTTGTACTAAAGCCATTCAAGGCTTCGTTGTCAACGTTTGATATTCAGAGCAAAAATCATTGAACTATCCTTAATGTGGATTTTAGAACTGGCATTAAAGTCCAACAGCAAATCTACTTAGGGAAGGGATGAGAGAGAGAGAGACCCAATGAAATAATGACCAAAGGAAAGTCTTTTGATGAAAAAAACCAACTGTGATCATGGACCAATAATAATGGGATATGAGCACTGCATGCTCGAAGAGATTTATGTTTCAAGGGAAAAGTATAAAGCCCAACATCAAAAAATAACAATGGTCTCCAATTAAACTGTGAAAAGGGGAGACTGGTATCATGTTTTCATTAGAATCCATGTTGGCAAAGACATGAAGCCAAGAAGAGAAACAAGAAACCAAGTGGATTCCTGGCTACTTTCTAACTTGCCATGTGTCCCCCCTCCCCTTCCCAAATTCTAGCAAGGTTACAGTGAGACAGGGACAAACCAATCTACCTAGTACTCACGTGTTCACCAGCAAATCTCCTCTCTGCCCCCTACTGCCTGGAGAGCTAAAATGCCAGCAGAATGGACTAAAGGATTTCATTGAGAAACATTAATTTACTGGTGGCTTCTAGTTTTCCTCAACCACCAAGTTAAAACTCCACCTGGGAAGCCCCACTGAATTTCACTTGTAATCGACTTTGTTAGAAGATACTGCTTTCTCTCTTGGAATAAACGCTTCGTGGCAGAATGGAAAAGAGAGATTAACTTGGGCACACATTCCAGCACTTATTTTGCTCCTTAATTTGAATCTGAACAATTTGATGACTAACTCACAAAGAACTCCTCTGGGGGCGGGGAAGGGGCGGGCACTGGGCTGGTTCAGTTTGTTGAGTGTCCAAATCTTGATTTTGGCTCAGGTCATATCTGAGGGTTGTGGGATTGAGCCCTGCATCAGGCTCCATGCTGGGCGTTGAGCCTACTTGGGATTCTCTCTCTCTCCCTCTGCCCCTCCCTGAGCCTCACACGTGCTCTCTCTCTCTCACAAACAAAAACAAAAGACAAAAAAACGAAACAAAAAAAAGAAAACCTCCTTTAAATTTGGAGCTTATCTCATAAGGTAAAATGTACTGAAACATATATTTACTCATTAACTATATGAAAGGCAGCTTTAACCTCTGTGAAAGAAAAGCTTAAGTAATCATACATGTAATTATTTGTATGAGGGCTTACGGTTGCTGAGATCTAAGGCATGGATTTAAAAACAAAACAGGGATACGAAGGTGCCCTGCTTCCTCCAGGGCGGAAGGCCTGTGCCGGGGGTGGAGAGCAGGGAGGGCTGGAGCCCTGGACACGAGTGAGCCCCAGTCTTCAAAGCTGTCGCCTCCAGAAGGAGCTGCCACGGTTACTCCTCTTGTGCTGCCATGGGGTTTTTTTAGAACAGCCTTTTAGGGTCATAACCTATTCTATGAAGCTTCCTCAGTGCTGGCAAACCACTGTTCTCTTATCTGGATTAGATGTTTAGATGTTTGCTTTCCTTTATTTCTCCTTGCAGTGAGTGATAACTTTAGGTGACCTGAGCCACTTTCCAAATCCAAATAAAGGAAGCTCAGAAAGAGAGCCTTTAATCCAGTGGGGATTGTAACTTGATGGCTTGGGTTTCAAAGCTGGAATTTCAGAAATAGATCCTTGTTCAAAGGCAAACCCATAGACTTTGAGCAGCAATGACTTTTATTCATTGATCCCATGAACACTTGTGAAGCATCTGCGATTCTTTCAACAAATATTCATTGAGCATCTACTCTGTGTCCAACAGAGATCTAGGCATGAGATACACAGTTCCAGACAGAGTGGGGGAACCAGATGAAGAAAGTTCCCGCTTTTGTGGGCAGAAAAGAGGCAACAAATAAGAGGGGCACCTGGGTGGCTCAGTTGCTTAAGCCTCTGACTTCAGCTTGGGTCATGATCTCACGGTTTATGAGATCAAGGCCAGCATCAGGCTCTCTGCTGTCAGCACAGAGCCTGCTTCAGATCTTCTGTTCCCATATGTCTTGGCCCCTTCCCCCCCACCTCTCTCGAAAGTAAATAAAAATTAAAAAAAAAAAAAAGACACTGTGAAGAAAATAAAACCAGGCCAGGGCGTAGAGGGTGACAATCATGGGAGACAGAGTGGCTGAGGTTGTCTCTCTAGATTGGAGTTCAGGGGAAGTCCCGCCCACTGAGCAGCATCTGCTTAGTGAAGGGCCTCCTCTGAACTGAGACCTGAATTTCAAGAGTGAGCAACCCATTTAGATCACTGTAGACCAGGGTAGGGCTTAGGTCCTATTCTGTATGTGAGGGGAGCCACCAGCAGGTTTGAAGCATTATCTGATTGGTGCTTTTAAAGATCATTCTGACTGCTAAGTGAAGCATGGACCCCTTGAAGGTCAAAGTGGAAGCAGGTAGACAAGAGGGCCCCTTGGGGAGAAAGCTGGTGCCTGGGACTGCAGTGGTGGCTGAGGATGTGGAGGAAAAATAGATAAACCCCAGTTATACTTTGGTGGTAATGACGAGACTAATTCACTGGTTTCCAGGAATACAGAGAACGCAGAACTCCTATTTTGTGGCTCTTTGAGTAGTCTAGTGGGAGAGAAACCTGGGTAAAGCAGTAATTGAAACACAGTGTGATCGAGGCAGGTAGAGGAGTGACACAGCCAGGTGTCATGACCCTGATGCCGTCATGAATGTCCGGAAAGCACCCTGAGGGGCGAACACTTGAGCGGAGCCAGGGGAAGGACAGTCCTGGAAGAGGGCGTGGGGATTTGAAAGAGTGTGGGGAGGGTAGGCAACTCCCAAGATGCTTAGAGCTGCTGGAAGGGAGGTGGTGGGAGGGGAGGCCAGAGGAGTGGCCAGGAGGGGCCACCCTTCACCACGTGGGTGTGCAGGGTCAGCTGAGACCTGAGCAGGTGTCTCCAGGACATGACATCTCTCTTCGGAGTCTTAACACGGTGTTCCAGACATGCTAACTCATTCTCTAAATGGGATAAGCTGACCCAAAGACTATGTATTATTTAATGGAAAAGATTACTGAAAGCCCAGAGGGAGCCATATATCTTCTGATAGCAACTTTCCTAATTTATTTAATTGCATTACGAGCAGCATGTCCTCTAGGTGGAAGATGTCACTAATACTATCTTGCTTCTGTTTTAAGACCCAGCTTCCCCTTTAAGAATGGCAAATGGTGCCCTGATCTCCATTGGCTGCTTGGCCATATTTGTCACTGCGATCACCCTTTTGGTGTACAAGTAAGTTACTGCTTTTAACACTTTAAATAGCTATAGTATATTGTCAAAACATCTGCATACATGGGCCATTTTCCTTTTTTTTTTTTTTTTTTTTGCTTTTAAACATTCTGTGTAGGGAAGGAAAATCTTCCATTGGATGATGAATACTAAACTAGATTATTAATTTTGCTGCAATTTATTTTTAATCTTCAAAATGCTACCAGACATGAGTAACTACAAAACTGTGTCAGCTTAATGTTTAACATATAATTGCAAATTTTAGCAGGCAGGCATGTTTCTTGCATGAAGAAGGGAAAATAGCTATACTTTCATAAGACATCCATGTTATAAAAGCTGTGGATTCAGTTAACTGGAATTAACCCTTTTACACTTGGCATGTAAGATTGTAGAAAGTAACACATTCCAGCTGGAGATCTATTTTTAATCTGTCTAACATGTTGTTTTCAGAAAACACAAGGGATACAAACTGATAGAAAACAGTACTGGGATCGTAGTCAAAGGCAAAGGCCTCAGTGTTTTCCTCAACCGTGCAAAGGCCATGTTCCACCCTGGAAACCAGGAAAAAGATCCACTGCTCAATCACCAACCGGGAATTCTTTAAATCTTCAGCTTTATTTCTGACCAATAGCTTACTCTTCAGTGCCACTTATGTGAGCTGGGCCAGAGTTGATAACGATTCACTTTTTTCCCTAAAGATTATTATTAAAATATATATTGTGGCTTAGGGAGGTCCAAAGGTTTGGTTTTTTTGTTGTGTTTTGTTTTTATAGGCTAAATGACATTTTAGAGAATGGAGAGGAATTAAACTGTGCACAACCTCAGCCATGTTATAGAACTGATGAAATCAGTTAGTAGTGCTTGTTTTCATTATGATTTATGTTTCAATTATAATGTGTTAGGTGATTAGTGGGATAGACACACTCTGTCCAAAGACTAGGGGGAGAAGGTACTATTCATTAGAGTCTCACCTGGGTTCACTGGAAGGAGAAGCTGAACACTTTGTAGATAACTGTATAACCAAATGCGTAACACCTATGTATTCCTGTCCTTAAGATCATATTTCCAACCTAACTGAATTCTACTTCAATGAACATGCATGAGTTCCCAGAAGAACAGTAACAGGTCAAACATACTTCTTATACTAAAAAATGTGTATATACTAATCTAATAAATAGGTGTGAATATTTTTGTGACAACCTGCCCTGTCCAGATGTGTAAAGGAATGGTATTCACGCAAGGGATGCCTGGGTGGCTCAGCTGGTTAAGCATCCAACTTTGGCTCAGGTCATGATCTCACAGTTCGTGGGTTTGAGCCCTGCCTTGGGCTCTTTGCTCAGAGCCTGGAGCCTGCTTCGGATTCTGTGTCTCCCTCTCTCTCTGCCCCTCCCCCACTCATGCTCTGTTTCTGTCTCAAAAATAAACATAAAAAAAAGGTTAAAAAAAAAAAAAAGGAACGGTATTCACTCATTTATTCCATGGAGATTTATTTAGCACTTTCTGTGTGTCAGGCATGTTGCTACGTACACAGCCCTGCCCTCAGAGTGTTTATGCTCTTGTGTATATATCTGGATTTCTGTACACTCTGGTGCATGTATTTGAAATTATATATGATGATTTTCCAAAGAAGGAGGCCCATGCTCTTCCTATTGGGTTTTCTATTAAATGATGTAGAAACTTGGTCAGTAAGGGTTTTACCTCCATTTGTAACTAAAACTATCTACCATATGTCAGACAAGGCATTCTTTTTCTCTCCTTCCTGAAAAATAAAGTCTGAAAAGAGATAAGGTCTTGGAATTATAATTATTTTTCCAATTTGTTTTTCACCTTTCTATTGCATTATCGTTTTGACACATAAAAAGTTATTTAATGCTGCCCCATGGAGTACTGATAATTTCATAAATATTTTATATTTTAAAATATATAGAGTATGTTAAACTTCAATAAATTTAATATATAAATGTATATGATCAGATAAATCTAAAAAAAGTTTTCTGTGAGCTATTGTTCTGGACTCTGAACAGTTGGTATTATGTTAAAAATAAAGGCAAGATGGTGGGAGAGAGAGGGAAGTGGGTGATGGGCGTTTAGGAGGATACTCGTTGGGATGCGTCCTGGGCGTTGCATGTAAGTGATGAATCATGGAAATCTACCCCGCAAACCAAGAGCACGCTGTATACACTGTATGTTAGCCAACTTGACAATAAATTGTGTTAAAAAATAATGATAAATAAGTAAATAAAGGCAAGAGGATAGTTCTAGGTCACAGATCAGCAAACTTTTTCTGTAATGGGCTAGGTAGTGAATGTTTTAGGCTTCATGGGCATACGGTTTCTGTGGTACCTACTCAGTTCTCTTCTTGCAACACAAACGTGATCATATATGTAAATGAAAGAGCATCCTGTGTTCTGGTGAAAGCATATTTGCAAAGTCAGGTGGTAGGTAATTTGGCCCATGGGCCAGAGTTTGTTGATTAATGTTCTAAACTAAAAAGACCGAAGAGACACAGCAACCAAAAGCAGTTTAGGAATCTAGACTGCATGTTAGCATTAAAACAAACAAACAAACAAACAGCTATGAAAGATATTCCTGTGACAGCTGAGGGGAATTTGAATGCATAACAGATGACAAATGATATGGTAGAATTATTGTTAATTTTCTTAAGGAGTAGTCAAGATTTTCTGAAGCAGTTGGTGGACCCCAGCATTTAATCTAGTTCCTTCACTTCATAGATATCCTGGAGGCCAAAAAGAAGCTGTTTTTATTCTGAAATCATTTCCAAAGAATGCAAAATTTGCAGAACATGGATTGTGAAATTTTTCTCCAATTATGTCAGTGGTCCTCAGCCAAAGGTTGCTGTGCCCCTCGGGAGGGGGGACGGGTTGGCAATATTTGGAGACATTTCTGGTTGTCTTGGTTGGGGTGGGGATGCATCTAGTGTGTAGAGGCCAGAGAATCTACAGGACAGCACCCCACAACAAAGCACCCCATGGTATCTGGACGTAGATGTCAGAAACCCTGTTGTGGACTAAGTGAAGAGGTCCTGGACCTCTTGAAAAGGTATGTACATGGATATAAAGATAGAAGACTTGGATTTGGATCCTGCCCTGCCACTTAGAGTTAAGTAGGCCTGGGCAAGAGTTTTGTCTTTTCCCGAGCCCTGGTCTCCTCATCTATAAAATGGACATGTGATCCTTCCCTTGCTTACTTCGCAGGGCTGCTCCAAATCCACCAGAAAGAATGAATGGACGTGAAGGCACTGTATATGGCATAGTAGTATATCCTCCATGTGAGGTCTAAGGACACAAACAATGTGAAGAGGCTTTATCAGTTTGATGATGATTAGGACATTAGTTCCTAAAGCAGAAATGGAATAACAAGTTATAGGAGAATCACTTGTAGGTTTGTTGAAACGCAGACTGCTGACCCATGCCCCCAGAATTTCAAATTCAGTGTTCCGAGGTAGGGCCCCATAATCTGGAGTTTTAACCAATTCCCAGGTGAAGCGGATATTGCTGGACCAAGACCTAACTTTGAGAAATACTGGTCTTGAGATCCTCTCTTCCCTTATCATAACAATAGGGGGTATCAGAGAGCAGCAAATACACGGTCCCCTAGGAAGCCAGTGGAAATCCTCATCAAAAGTCCCTCCATTCCAGTCTAAGAAATGGCAGAAGAGGGGGCTGAAATCATGAATTATTTAGATTTATAGTCGCCACGTGACCTTGGCAACAAGTTATTTAACTTCTACTGAATCGCTATCTGTAAAATGGGGGAAATAACCTGAAAGATAGTGGGATGATTTGATTAATGTTTGCTGAGAATTAGAACTTCCAAAGAAAATTGAAATGCATAGGTAATAAATTATTCTGGGAATTTCTTATTCCGAGGACTTTTTATAAATGTCTGCACTTTGAACACTTCCAACTCATTCATAAACATTGGTTGCCATCATTGAATTTCCAATTGTTGAAGAGTTTAGAGGGCAATACTTTCAATGCATTCATTATATCCAGAATGGAAAATAACTCTAGACCTAAGTGACAGGCTAAGAGCAGATGAGAAGACAGTCATCCAGGGGATGAAGATGACCACCTTCTGATGAGGCTCCTGATAGGGAGGAATCCATTTAGGGTTTTTACAAAGAAGCATTCCAAAACTGCTGGAATATGTACTCTAAAAATTCTGAGATCAGTTCTCAGGGATTACTCTTTGCAGACTGATTTAATCCTTCAGCCATCATTTACTTATCCCCAGTATGTTCCAGGCTCTGGTCTGGAGGGGACACAGCTGTGAATAAGAGACAAAGACTCTGATGTCCTGGGGCTTGGGCTCCAGATGTTCACTGAAGTGAGGGCCCTTATCTCTGGCCTGGGGGCCCCTCCCCCATCCCGGTCAATCCCCCATTGACCTTAGTCTAATCTATGAAACTATTCCACTGCTACTTATAACTGAACTGCCATTCCTTTTTGAAATTCTGGGAAAAAAATTTTGCTTTGGAGATCATCCGTTGGCTTTTTGTAATTTGAGTGTCTTGGTGATATTTTAGAACATGACCAATTTTAATTCTCTGTATAATTTCCCCACAAATATCATCATGTCATCTCACTAATCAAAATGTCCAACATCAGTTGTCACTGATGATTGCATTGTATAGGTTTTAATGATACAAATTAAATATCAGAACTTGAGCTTGGTAAGTCCTTAATTTTAAGAATAAATCCTTTTGGGATTAAAAAAAAGATTAATTGCTGTTGAGAAGTGGTGGAAGGATTTTGTGGCTGTGGATATAGTTTTTAGGTTTTGGAATTGAGTTGAAGAAGGTAGGTAGGACTTAAATCAAGAAACCTGACCTCCAGCCTGGCATTGTCACTCACTAGCTATGTGGCGTGAGACCAGTGATTTTCTCTCTCTGCACTAGAACCTCCTCCTCTATAAACTGGAAGAGAGGGAAACTAAACTAGATGAACTCTAAAGTCTAATGCTCCACTGTGGGAAATGTGAAGGATTCCATTACCCGATTTCCTACAGCGATGTCAAGAGGATTGTATTCTAAGTACAGGGTTGGTACACTATAGTTTATGAGCTGCCTGTTCTCTGAGGGCCCGTAGGCAAAACTTGGTTTTTATATTTTTTCATGTTTGGGAAAGATCAAAAGAGAATATTATTTTGTGCCACATAAGAGTTATAGGAAGTTCAAATTTCTGTGTTTATAAATAAAGTTTTATTGGAACATAGCTACACTCATTCATTTATATATTGTCGATGACTGGTTTTGCATGAAAGCAACAGAATTGGGTAGCTGGGAGAGAGACCGCTGGTCAGCACAGTCTAAAATATTTACTACTTAGTCCTTTATAGAAAAACGTTTGCTGATCTTTGCTTTAAAGCATTGTTCAAGTCTATTCTGAACTCTATTGAGAAACAAGAATCCTTAAGAGAATTTCAATTACATGAAATGTAATTTTCTTAACTGAGGACTTTGAGGTCTTACCCTCAATTTCACATCACATTATTCTGTAATGACAGCAAATCTATATTATCAGACATAGTAAGTGTACATTGCTTATCAACCATTGTGGGGAAATGTAAAAAAAAAAAAAAAAAGACCTTTCTGTGGAAAAAATATCTAATAATCCTCTCAGAAGAAATTTCAAATCAGAGAATCACAACATGAAGAACCAAGTGATGAAGGGTTTTGTAAATCCCCAAAAGCATCAACCATGAAGAAAAAGATTG